ATGCAAATTAAAAGAACATTGAGATTTCATCTCACCCCAGTAATAATGGCCAGCATGAAGAAATTAACCAATAACAAATGCTGGCAAGGCTGTGGAGAAATAGGAACCCTTCTCCACTGCTGGTGGGAATGTAGACTGGTGAAACCACTGTGGAAATCAATTTGGAGATTCTTCAGCAAACTAGGTCTAGAGGTCCCATTCAACCCAGCTATTCCACTTCTGGGTATATTCCCAGAAGATCTGAAAACATCGTATCAGCGATATATGTGCACTCACGTTCACAGCGGTGCAATTTGTAATTGCTAAATTGTGGAAGCAACCCAAGTGTCCATCCACTGAAGAATGGATAAAAAAATTGTGATACTTTTATATAATGGAATATTACTCAGCTATAAAGAAAGATAAACTCAAAGCTTTTATAGGTAAATGGTCACAACTTGAGCCCATACTCATAAGTGAAATAACTTAGACCTGCATGTGTAAGAATTGTATTGTCTCAGTAGTGTAAGACCTGAAAGAGTGAATAAAAAGTAGGAGGTATGATAGATATTGTGAAATGAAAGAAAGTGCTCAAAAGTAAAGGGCAACTGGGGTGTGGGACAAGAGAAGGGAAAGAAGGAGAAATTATGTAAGTATGTATATACAGCTAACATAGTTGTACTACTGTCTTCTGTTGCTGTACAGAAAGGAACAGTTCATGATTACTTGTTTGATCTATCTTGTATGTCTCTATTTATTTTCGTGAGAAACCACTTTGAAGATACCAATAAGTAATACAACAACCATGGTTAATTTCCTACAACTTTTTCTGTAACTCTGTTTTTTTTTTCTGTTACTGGGAATCAAACTCACGACCTTGCGCTTGCCAGGCAGGCGCTGTGCCACTGAGCTAAATCCCCAGCCCTGTATCTCTGTTTGTATTGTTCCTATGCTGTTTTGTAAATGGATGTCTGTTTGTTAATATGTTTTCCTTCTTTTATTTTTTAAAATAAAAAATATAAAATTAAAAATATAAAAAGAAAAGTGCTCTATATATTATTCTTGTAATAGATAATTTAAAAGTACAGAAGTTTAAATACAGAAGAGTAGTGCAGTATTATCAGTAAGAGGCCTTATAGCTACTTTTTTTGTTGTTGTTGTCTTTTTTGGAGACAGGGTTTTGCTATGCTGTTCAGGCTGGCCCTAACTCACCTTGTAGCCCAGGCTGGCCTCAAACTCACGGCTCCTGCCTCAGCCTCCCAAGTGCTGGGATTATAGGCATGCACCACCAGGCTTGGCACTATTAATATCTTTTGTTAAGAGTGCTTCTTTTTGTGGGGATTGGTTTGGGAAATAGTTTGGAGATGAGCTAAGTTTGGATATTCTGAATTTGAGGTGAATCAGATATCTTAGTTATGCCTGGGACTTTTACATATTGAACAAATGTTTTTGTGCAAGAGCAGTGTGGAGATCTGGATTTAAAAGCCGAAAGTTGAACCTGTCAAAATAAATAAAAATAAAAGGACAGTGGTAATTACAGAATATTTTGCTATTGGGGTTACATGTGCTGAGAAGGGCTAAAGTCATTATGAGAAAGGCAAAACTGAACGTTTATAGGTCATGAATCTATAAGATAATTTGTGGTTTTTAAAATTTCATATCTAATGACTTTGTTTTTTAAAGCCTAAAATAAGTTTTTTGTAGTATTAAATGCTTGGTAATATTTTAGACCTAATTAAAATATAAATAGAGCTCCGAAGTTTAGGATTTCCGACTTGCTAATGATTCATATTAGTTTTATGTAAATCATTATCATTAGTCTGTTCTTCTGTCGAATATGTATCATAATATTAAAAATGAGTAAAACTATGTTAAGTATACAAAGGAAGTATTAAAAACAAATGACTTACCATGGTGAATCAGTATATATAGAAGGGAGAGGGAGGACAAGAATAAATACCCTTGTACTTCCTGTTCATGTATCCATTGGTACTAGAAATAAAAAATGTAGTGACTTCACCCAAATTTTCTTATGTTATAAATTATTTTGGTTCTATACCAGACTAGTTTTTAAAAGTAAATGTGCACAAGGCATTAAAAGACCACAAATTCATGACTGTGTACCTACTGATTTTTAACACATAATTTGGAGTATATTTTTGTTTTTGCATTTGTAATTATATTTTGATAACTTTGCTGTGCTTTTGGTCATAAACAACTGATACTAAAGTATGGAAATTTATTCAACAGAGCAACAATAGAAGAGGCATATTCCAGGTCAATGACAAAACTAGCAAAATCTGCAAGCAATTATTCACAACTTGGGTGAGTTAGTTTTTTTCTCTTTTTTGGTGTTCTTTTAGGCACAGTTCTTTTTTTTTTTTCCTCTGGTACCGGGGACTGAACTCACGACCTTGCGCTTGCGAGGCAGGCGCTTTGCCACTGAGCTAAATCCCCAGCCCCTAGGCACAGTTCTTGAACATGTTAAATTTCTATCATGAATCTAATGGTTTATAAGTATAGTGATACACTGTTGTACACAACAGTTGTATATAGTCTCTGAGAAATGTTTAGTTTGGTAATTTTATTATTGCGCAAGCAGTGTAAGTTGTACTTACACAGACTTAAGACATCTACAGTAACACTAAGTGATATATTTATGGGACTGGTGATACATGTCCTTATATATGAGTTTTATCATTGCCAAAATGTCAGTATGCATGCATAGTTGTATTGTGTACTTAATTAAAATGTATCTATTTTAATGTGAATATATTTCTTGACTTGCTATGAACTATAATTGAAGTTGCTAAAAGATAATGAAACTTTCTACATGATTATTCAATAGTGTAAATTTGAGATTATGTTTATATAAATGCATTTTCTGTAAGTTTATTAAATTCTGTTGTAGCTTAACAGTGAACTTTTTTTTTTTTTTTCTCTTTTTTTGAGACAGGGTCTCACTATGCAGTTCAGGCTAGCCTTGAGCTCACTTCGTAGCCCAGGCTGGTTTTGAACTCACAATGATCCTCCTGCGGCAGCCTCCCAAGTACTGGGATTACAGGCGTGTGCCACCACACCCAGCTCTTAACAGTGAACTTTAAAAACTTAAGAGAAACTTTACTAAAATAAATAAAATCTATTAAATGTCTCCTATGATTTTACTGACTCATTAAATCTTCCTTCCAAATTTATATTGAAGAAATATATTTTTTTGAAAAATGAAAATTAACAAGAAGGCTGTATTTAAAGTGAAAATGTGCTCATAATTATAATTATATAATCTGAACCAAAGTAACTGGTAGGAATGGTTACTTATTTATCTAAAACTTGAGAGGAGGTCATAAATTTAGCTAAGATGTTGAAATTAGTGTAACAAGATTTTGCAGTCATGGTGAAAGATTCTTCTACATCTAGGGTTCTGATAAATTTGTGAATCCTCTAAAATTTCATGTATAATTTTGCAGATTATATTTGCAATGAAGAGGTTCAATATAAATTATCAGATTCACTGATGAATCTGTGACTTTCAAAAAAGAGGTTAAGCATGATTATTTTATATTAGTACTTGATAGTGTTGGTTGCATGAATTTAAATCAAAGCCTTACTCCTTTGTGGCCTGGACAAGTGGTGATCAGAATATTAGTTCATCCTCAGTGCAGTGGCCCTGTCCCCTAAGTGTGTACCAGCAGCCCAGAAAGCTTAAAGAAGCCCTCTTGCAACTGTGTGCACCATGGCTGGGAAGGCTGGCAGCTGCTATCTGACCTAAAACAGTGGAGACTGTGGCTTGTAACGCTTTCAGGTTTTTTTTCCTCATGTTTATTGTTTTATTTTATCTTGTTATGTTACGTTATGTTATGTTATGTTATGTTATGTTATGTTATGTTACGTTATTTTTGGTCTTTTTGAGACAGGGTCTCACTATGCAATTCAGGCTGGTCTTGAACTCACTTTGTAGCCCAGGGTGGTCTCGAACTCACAACGATCCTCCTAACTCAGCCTCCCAAGTGCTGGGATTACAGGCGTGTGCCACCACGCCTGGCTTTTTGGCTTGTTTGTCCTCCAGTTTCTTCCTTCCTTTCCTCCCTTTGGTACAACTTTATTTTTCCTTTTTTTCCCATTTCTACTTTTACTTTTTGACACCTTCCTATTTCTTCCTAGTGGATCACAGAGGAGAGCCAAAATGTAACTGGAGTAACAAAAACTAACTTTAGCTAACTGATTTTATTATGCAAAATTCTGCTTTATTCTCAGTTTCCATATGGTTCATTAAGGAAATATGGATTGACCTCAACTTTTTCCTAGCATTCATGTCTTTTGTATGTATGCTTTTCATAAATAGTAAGTAGTATTGTGTGTGTGTGTGAGTGTTAGTGTCATCATTCAGGATTATAACTTTTTTTTTGTTTACTGTTACCTATTTTGGCAGGAAATTGAAATTTATGTTTGGTTGCATTTAAATATACTTTGAATATTTTAGTTTTCTTTCTTACTACTTATTAATATATACAGTAATGCATATTACTTGACCAGAAAAAGGTTGGGTATGTCAAACTTTAAAAGTTTAATTCCATTTTTTAAAAATAGATTTTATGAAAGAATCCTTTCATGAAGTAAAAGGGACAGTCTGTCTTACCTGCTTTGTGAAATCTATACTAATATTTATCAGATGTACATAAGATAAAGTATGTATTTTGGTGCTTTAGTGAGTGGATACTCTAAATATGTTTTTTTTTTTTTTTTGTCTTTCTGAGACAGGGTCTCACTATGCAGTTCAGGCTGGCCTTGAGCTTACTTTGTAGCCCAGGCTGGTCTCAACTGCAATGATCCTCCTGCCTCAGCCTCCCGAGTGCTGGGATTACAGGCGTGCGCCACCACACCCAGCTTCTAAATATCTTTTTGTCCTGAAATTTTCCATCTCTGCACTGATTAGATTTTAAAGTATGCCACAAGATCTAATCAAAACAGTTGTATGCTAAGGATTGTGATTGACTTCTTTGAACTACTTTATTATTGCATATAATGATTGCTGCCAGTTAACCTTTCTAATAGTTAAGAAATGTAATAATTGCGCAGAGTACACATTAAAATAAGTAGTCACATTTTCTGTTCCCTTAGTGATTATTGCTGCTATTTGTTTTCTCTTAGAAATTTTATTGTAGAGACTGCTTTAGAGCAGGTACAGTACTTGAGCAAAGCTTGAATTATCCATAGATCATTCCCACTGAATAAACTGATTTAAACTAACCATTGCCAACTCAAGTGTTACTCAAAATATGGTAATGTGCAGTTGTTGAATATACTTGAGCCTGCTGAACCTTTTATATCCTTAATATTGGAGAAAAGTGGCAGAAAACTTTATGACACATCCCATCCCATACCCTTTAGTGGAAAGAGAGTCATACATTGTTGAAGTACATAGAGGGATTGATAAAATTATAATGTGCAAAGAAAGCTTTCAGATAACTGCTCTAAAGTAATTCTTACATAAGTGTTAAACACACACACACAAAGTCACATGTAAAAATTTGACTTTTACCAGTTTCATTTGAAAGAATTTTTATTATTATTTGGTGGTGCTAGGCATGCTAGGCAAGCACTTGGTACCGCTGAGCTACATCCCCAGTCCCAGAGAAACTTTACTTTTAACAAAGCATCTTAACTAGAGTGCAGTACTAAGTAGTTTTAAATTGGAGTTTGATAATAGAATTAGATTTTAATAATAGACGTAATGATAGGTGTCTGATACAAGTCTAATCAAAGTCAACTCAATATATAATTAGAAGTGACTATGAAGGCCTGTGACATGAAATTAATCCATTTTTGTGTACCTATTATGTAGGAAAGTTTTGTGTACCTAAAAACTTACAATAATTAATCATGGAGTAAAAAACAAAACAAAAAGACAGCCCAGTTCGGTCATTTCATTTATTACTTTACTTTTTTTTTTTCTTTTGTAGTGCTAGCGATTGAACCTAGGGGCAGTGATGGGAAACCTTTTAGATACTGAATGTCTAAGTTGCAACTCAAAACCCACTTATTTATCACAAAGCGCCATCACTTCAATTAAACCTGAATACTGAGATTTTAGATCAGAAAAAGCAACTGTTATCTGATGCTCAGTTGTTAGGGTGACTCGGCTTGTGCTGACAGAGAGGGTTCTGTGTTCCCGCTGTGGCACATGTGCCATAGGTTTGCTACCACTAGGGCCTTCACACTAAGCTACATCCCCATCCCTTTTATTTATTTATTTATTTATTTGGTTTTTTTCTGGTACCAGAAATTGAACTTACTACCTTGCGCTTGCCAGGCAGGCGCTGTGCCACTGAGCTAAATCCCCAGCCCCTTCCCATCCCTTTTAAAAAAATTTTTTTAAGACAGAGTCTCCATGAGTTTCCCAGGCAGGACTAGAACTTACACACTTTCTGCCCTAGCCTCCCAGAGTATTGGGATTACAAGTGTGCACCATTGTGCCTGGCTTATTTAAATTTTTTTTTTGTTTTTTTCCGGTACTGGGAATTGAACTCACGACCTCACTCTTGCCAGGCAGGCACTATGCCGCTGAGCTAAATCCCCAGCCCACTTTATGTAAATTTGATACTTTGCCTAAATACAAATTGCTGGAAATAGCATTATACTTTCGTTCGTTCCATCTTAGAACTTCAGAAGTTTTCATTTTCTTTCAGTAAATGCTTCCCATGTTCTTCCTTTCATTTAGAACATTTGCACCAGTGTGGGATGTGTTCAAAACTTCCACAGAGAAATTAGCGAATTGTCACTTGGATCTTGTTAGAAAATTGCAGGAATTAATAAAGGAAGTTCAGAAGTATGGAGAAGAACAAGTAAAATCTCATAAAAAGGTATTTTTTTTTTCTTGTTAAAGGCTTGATTGGTCAGATATTGAATGTTTACATCTCAGTCATTTTGATGAATCATTTCGTACCAAACAGACTAAAGAAGAAGTTGCAGGAACTCTGGAAGCTGTCCAAACCATTCAGAGTATAACTCAGGCCCTCCAGAAATCCAAGGAAAATTACAACGCCAAGTGTGTAGAACAGGAGCGTCTGAAAAAAGAGGGAGCTACACAAAGAGAAATAGAAAAGGTAATTACAGTAAAAATACCACCTCTGTGGTTTTGTAGCTCTTTAATATACGAGAGTGCATTTAATCTTTAGGCAATCAAGAAGGATCTCATTTTAAAGACAGTGACACTGCATCTTACAATGTTTGTGATTTATAGAAATAAATCTTTTAAATATGTTACCTGTGGTAAATAACAAACACAAAATAGGAATTTTTTTATTTCAATGACATATGCAAAATATTTTTATTTATTTTACAATTTTTTTGTGGGTTTGGGGATTAAACCCAGGGTCTTCTGCATGCTACGCAAATATTCTACCACTAAGCTAAGCTGCATTCTCAGCCCCTGCAAGATGTTTTTTTATGATAAGATAATTGATGATATTGGTTGGTATAAGTTTTAATGAGGTAAAAATTTTTGAAGCAGCATTTTAGTATATTTAGAATGTGTGTAGATACTTCAAGGTAAACTTCATGTGTATGTTGTGGGTGATTGATTGTTGACTCTGAACACATTTATGTTTTAGTGTGATAAAGAACAGACCTTTTCCCCTGTTCACATTTTAATTGAAAGTAGTTTTTTTTCTTTCTAAAATAGTTACTTATTTTTGCTGTAGTACAGTATATGTCATAGGGAATAAGCCGTAGGGAGTGATAATTTTGAAAACTTTATACAATATTTGAACTATTTGGTGAAAAAAGAGAACCAAATTGTATTGGTAGTAGGGTAATGACTGTAAAAATGTATACACATGGGCAAAAGCTAGGAAAGTCAACAGTTAATGGACTTTGGAGTACTATATTTCCTTCAATGTTTGTACAATAAGTAAAAATTGGAAGGGGAAGGGAAAGAAGAGGTACAGGAAGTTCACGGTTTGAAAACTCTTTGTTTCAGATACAGTAATTATGAATAAAATGTAAAAAGAGAAAACAAAATTAACAGGGTTCACAGTGAAGAATATTATTTCTGTGGTCCAGAAATCCAGAGTGCCATGTAAAAATTGATTGTGTAAGCTTAAGTAAGTCCTAAGGTGGGCAGTAAAATTTGACTCTTACGTTATACAAGGGAACAAATGTTCTCCTTGGGTTTTTTTTTTTTTTTTTTGAGGCTGGCCTGGAACTCATGACCCTCCTGCCTCAGCCTCTCAAGTACTAGAATTATAAATGTGTGCCAAGGGTTCTCTTTGAGAAGAGGTACAAAGAGCCTGGATCATTGTGTGAAGCTATAGGTAGGGAAGAAAAGATGGCTGTTAGACTGCTGACTAGGTGAAAGCTTATTGGGAGGTTAGGGGTTTAGAGAAACAAGGTATAGAAGTATAATCCTGAGCCAGAATTGAGCTAGGGAGTCAATATGACTATTTTGCCCATATCTCCAGTATTCTTGCAAGGTCCAAGACTTAGACTAAATTGGGTCCTTGGAAGGCTAGCAGGAGATAACCTGAGAACTGCTACATAGGGATGGGAAAGCATAAAGGATAAAGCATAACACAATTTAAGGAGGTGCTGTTTACATTATAGTAGGTGCTGTACAGAGAGGAGAGGGAGCAAAAATATCACAGACCTCCCTCAGTGGGAATGTGCAAACAACCAGACTTTTAAAAGCACATCTAAGAGATCTAATTCTGAAACAGCCAACCAGTGAATTTAATAATTGGAATTTGGGGAGAAATGTAGGTATTCTATTAAACATGATTGCATCACTTAAGAATAAAAGAACACCCTCGGTGTGGTGGTGCATGTCTGTAATCTTGGGAGGCTGAGGTAGGAGGATCACCATGAGTTTGAGGCTAGAATAGATTACATAGTGAGTTTAAGGCCAGCCTGAACTAGAGTGAGATCTTGTCTCAAAAAATAACACAGAAGAATAAAAGAACAGTGGTGGTACACAGAAGAATAAAAGAACAGTGTGTAATTCCAGCGCTTGGGAGACTGAGGCAGGATTGTGAATTTGAGGTCAACTAGGCTACATAGCAAGACCTCGTCTTTAGAAAGAACAAATGCTTCAGGGCTGGGGATGTAGTCTAGTGGTAGAGTCCTTGCCTAGTATATATGAGGCCCTAGGTTCAATCCCCAGCGCGCGCGCGCACACACACACACACACACACACACACACACACACAATACACCAGTGCTTCAACTTCCTGGAACTTTAATGAGTTAACAAGGTGGCCATGTTTGTTACTTCCTGGGCATTTGCTTTCTGTTGTTATACCCTCTTATTTATAGTATTACTAAATAAACATGTTAATTAGAAACCTGTTTTGACTTAATAATTTACTATTACATACTATATACAGTACTTGTTTCTTATGAGGCATATTTCTTGTTTGTAAAATATATAGATATTTCTAATTATATTCTAAAATTGTCTCTGTATCCTTTTATGTGATACCCCTAGTTTTCTTTAAATTTGATTTTGTCATTGTTAAAACAGCTTGTAAATCAGCAAATCCTTTTTAAAATTTTATTTCTTTATTAGTAAGTGCTTTTTGGGTTAATTTTCCAGGATGCTTCTTAAAGTTAGTGTGTAATTCCCATAAGTTTTGGCATACTAGTTTTACATGTCAAGAGTAAGAGCTAGTGTAAAAACCAAATTAGAATTTAAAGCACCTTCTCTTTTTCTTCATGCTTCCAAATAAGATAAATGAAAATTTACACTTTCCTAGTATGAGAGAGTATGCTGCAGGCTGTTTACAACTTTTGAGTTAAGCTAAAGGTGATAATTTTGTGGTTGTAAGTATCAAGTTTGTATGGTAAGGTGAATGGCTAGACTAAGATCCATGGTGAGAATAGTGTAGAAAGAAGAATCACAAACATTTGTTGGTGTAAAAATTCTAAATTAATATTTACCCCTCTTGATTCAAAAAAGACTTGAGTAACAAAACTATTAAAAATTCTCTAGACTGTTTGAGTATAATAAGAAACAATATGTTAGAAGGTTCTTTCTATCTCTTACATTCCCATGTAGTATGATGTATAATGTTGTGAAATAATTATGTTGTTTATATCCTAGAAGTACAGGTGTTCTAGATATTTCTTCAGAAAGTCATCTTCTATTTTTATTAAATTATAAAGTCCAAGCCAGGCATTGTGGTGCAGGCCTGTAATCCCAGCACTCCCAGCTGAGATAGGAGGATCACTGATTTTGAGGCTAGCCTGAACTACATTGTAAAACCTTGTCTTAAAAGCAACAAAAAATTTACTTGTCAATGAGAAGCCATTCTCCATAATACAGCATGTCTATTTATTTGGGAAGAATCATTATAGAAATATATTTGATTTTTTTTCAGCTTATTAATAAAAGTTAATTTAAGGGCTTATTTGAGCTATACATTTAGAATAGATTCTTGCCTTTTAAAGGATTTATTCAGATATCTCCTGATTTACTATTCAGTTATGAAGAGATAATTTGCATTCACTAGCACGTAAGTACAGTATTTTAGCTCTTGGCCTATTACTGTGCTAGTTGCTGCACATGTTTTTAAGGGCTAAAGTACGTATTGTCCCCATCTGTCTTCAAGAAGCTTCCTTTTTTTGGAGAGTCATGATACTAAGTAGTATAGAGTAAGAGATTAGAAAGGATCATGAATATAAGTTGAGAAGGAGAGATATCTTATTTTGTATGGAACCCATGGAAAGAAAACCTGTGAAAAAGAAAGATTATAAGAAAGATTTCATAAAATGAATTACTTTTAAAAGCATAGATACAGATACTACAGGTATTTTTTTAACTTTATATTCTGACTCTTTCAAATTGCAGATGTCTCCAAGAGTGATCACAAATCAGTTCTTCATCAGTAGGTGACACGTAAATTAAGCAATAATGTAATAGGCAGCAGAGAAAAAGACTAGGAGGACGAGCACTCAAATGAGGGACTACCAGTGAAACTGTATTATTTTTGTTAGACTACCATTAAAAGTTACTCTTTGAGGTTACAGGCATGGTGGCACATGCCTGTAACCCCAGCACTTAGGAGGCTGATGCAGGAGGATCACTACTTACATAGTAAGTTTAGGGCGAGCCTGAACTGCATAGTGAGACTTTGTCTCAAAAAAAAAAATTTACTCTGTGTACTGTAGGTTGTTGATTGCTTTTATAGAAGCTGAAAAAGTAGGTAGTTGTAAGAAAGATCTGATAGCTCTTTGCATCAGGAAAATCCAAAAGGAAATCCATACAACATGCCATTATAATGGTTTTTTTTTTTTATTTTTAAAGAAGGATAATAATAGGGGGGCTTACCAAATTATAGACAAAGTAGTAGGAAATTATCAGTGGTTATTGTTTTACATATTGTTATCTACAAGATAGTTTCTCAGGAAAACAAATAGACAAATAATAGTTACAGACAAAAGAGGTAAGAGATTATCAATAGTTGTTGTACTGTACTTTGGTATCTTCAAAGTGGCTTCTAAAGAAAATAAGTAGAGCTATACATGAGCGACCTATTGAATAATCATTAACTTTCTTCAGTGGTTGTTGTAGGAAACACATAATGATAGACATGTATCCATTTATGAAATAGGATAGGAACAATACAAACATTGCAGTTATGGATAGATTAGTAGGAAAATATCAATGACTGCTGTAATACATAGTGGTATCTTCGAAGTGGTTTCTCAGGAAAACAGAGATACGCAAGAAGGAGCTAACAAGTAGTTATAGCCTAGGGGTTGTCAAAAATCAAGTGAGCCGTCTAGGGCGAAAGCCATTTTTTATAGCGTTTTCTCTCCAGCCTCCCATCACATTGGGACCCCACAACCAGTTAGTGTCCTCTCCCCAACTATTAGCACAGGCAGTAGGAATCCTGCTGCAGACTTCTCCGG